CTTTTGTTACGACTAAATGGAACCTTCAATCTTCAGAGGCAGTCTGCATCTCAGAGTACTAGATGCAGGGACAAACAGTGAAGTACCTACCAGGAGCATCTGACTGGTTAAAAACAGAATGTTGAACTAGATGGGTCACAAAGTTCTGTTAGATTTAAGAACAGGAAAAGAAATTCCCTTTTTTATTTGAATATGGCAGCTTAGTTTAGAGACATGTGGAAGCAGAGGATGAATTAAGCTTTAGAGAACTGAAACCAGATAAAATTGATGTACTGAACGAGTCCACATCATCCTGATTTGCATCTTGTTTCTTGTTGCAGTTAAGCTATATTCCGATTAAGTTACATTAATGTGAATAGGTGTCATCCTTCCTTTACTATCTACTACTTTTTTTATGCAACATTACCTTTCTCTGTATCAGAGCTCTCCATGTGAGACAGCTGCATTGGCTAATACTTCTCTTACTACTAACAAATTCACTAAGCACAAACATCTGAAATATCTGCGTAAGAGGACTCTGTTGGGCAACACCAAGTCAAGACACCAAGCTTTTGATGATATGACTAACACAGATGACGATGGGAACAATGAGGGGACACATATTACAGACGAATCCCATCAGACTGCCAAAGGTGTTACTGTCAATGGAATTCCAGAACAGCACTTTGAAAATGGGGGAAATCGAGTGGATTTAGAGGCAGCATCAGAAGGTAAAAAGAGCAGCTCTCCAAAAACGAGTTCCATTGAAGAGAATGCAGAACAGAAAAATTCTTCTGCAGAAGAAGAGAAAATTGACCAAGAATGTGAAATAACCAAAGGAGAAACAGAAGAAACTTGCAAGCATTCTAGTGGCAGCGGTGGTGGTGATGAAGATGAAGGTGATGAAGGTGAACAAGAAAAAGCAACAGGGCATGAATCTTGTCCTGACGGAAAGAGCTCCATTCAGCCTAACTTGGAGGAAGCTGCTAATCAGCCCAGCGATTCTGATACGGAAATTGAAAAAAATAATGATGAGATCATGGTAGAAGATGCCTGTGAGAGCCATCAAACAGAGCAAGAGAGGGCTGACCTGATTCCAGAGTTTTGTGAAGTTCCTCAGGTTTGCCAAAAACAAGAACTCCCTGCTTTTCCCCTTTACCAATCCTTTGTGTAGCTGATCCTGCTTGAAGTCTGTCATGTAGTGTGACCAGAAACCCCATCATTTCCTAGTTTAACCTACAGCACCATCATAGTAACTGTCCACACCTGAGGCTTTTTGCTCTAGAATACAAGTGCATAGGATGAAATAGGCTGCCACAACATCCAGGACGGTGAATGAAATGTAGAAAATTGTACTAAAATATGAGCTTGTACTTCTACAACAGAAACATTCCAGCATATATCCTGAGCGTTGTTTATGGTTCATTGTGAATGTGTCTTGTTGCTGTTGCTTGTTCAAGCCCTATATGTTCAGTCATAGAATTGTAGAGTTGGAAAAGGGGCCCCTCCTGTGATTAGTCACTGGGAGGGAAGTCGGAAGGGGCCCAAACAGCTAGCCTTGATATCTCTGCTGCATCCCTGCCACCTGCCTTACCACCTTCCATGTGTTGCATGTGCACCCAAGTAGGGCTTGAATTTGTTTATTTGTGCATATAATACCACAAGTAGTTATTAGCCACCATGAGCAGCATATTAGCATACAGTTCTGTGCATAGTGGCTAGCTGTACAAAGTAGATAATATTTTCAAAACAGAACCATGGCAGGTGTTGCAGTGAGTTGAGCTCAAATCAAATATTACTGTTAAATTCTGGTTGAACTCAGTGGAACAGTACTCACGGAATTATCGAGTGACTAGGACCCAGGATTCACTACTATAATGCATATGTGTATAATGCGCATGTGTATGTGACAGCTGCTGTTAGTTCTGCTTACTGGGACTGTTCTTGGAAATGGGCTTCTAGCCCATTTCAAAACACAATTCAAACTGCTAGTCCCTTTAAAGCCTTAGCAGTGAGCAACATTTCTTTTTAACAAGTGTTGTATCAGACGCCATATATCAGTGACAAACCCAAAGACAAAAAGAGCAATGCAATTGTAACATTCTGGTAAATGCCTGATCTGTTTATGGATAAACTGATCAGGCATTTACCAGAATGTTACAATTGCATTGCTATTTGTCAAGTGAAACAATGCAAATATTCAGCATTTTGATACTAATCTTTCTCCTTTTCTGCTTGCTAAGACATCAGGATTAGGATCAGATGATCAATATCAAAAAGAACAAGAGCTTCAAAAGGAGAACCTAATGCTATCATCTGAAAATATGGAATTACGATTCCAGCTGGAACAGGCCAACAAAGACTTGCCAAGATTAAAGGTATATTTTTAACATGCAGTGTGTTGACTGGTGCCACGGAATGCCAATATATACTTTGGGGTTCATGAGTCCTTTCATTATGAATCATTTATATGATAAGTCACATATATAACCTTCATTTACCCCAAACAGAAAAAATCATTAGATAATAATGGTTCTGATCAATTATTTTCAGTGTAAACTGCATAATTTTTAGAGTATAGTTTTCAGCTGGGTAAAACTATTTTATTCTCTTTAGAACCAAGTAGCTGATTTAAGGGAAATGTGTGAGCTTCCTGAAACGAGAGAAGGCAGAAGCTGAGCGGAAGCTAGGCAATGTCAGAGGGGTATGTATTAAACATTGTGGAGCTTAAATTTTAAGAACAAGTGTAAACCAAATATTTTGTTTCCTTTGTCCTAAATCATACTTATTTTATAGCTATTAACTAGTCACACAAAAAACAATATGAAATGTTTAACTTTGGGAGTCACATACGCCTCTGCTTCAAAGAATGCTGAGTCCCAGGATTAAAGTCAGCTATCTTAGAGAACAAAATGCCACTGTGGCAGCTGAAAGGGAAATTTCCAAGTGAGTTAAAAGGGAATGCAATTATCTGCACTTTTCTGGGCATGTGACTCTGGATGGATGAGTTTCAGGGCTAGAACTTTCGAGCCAAGTGTTGAGTTGTCTTGATTGCATTAAGATTATAGGGAACGTTTGGCTTTTGCATGACCAAGTTTATCATCCATAGAAAGATAGATAGAGGTGGTCCTGCGAAAACACAATTCCGGCTTGCCAACCCTTGATAACTAATGTTTCAGAAAAAGCTAAAGATTCTGTGAGAACTAAATGAAAATGAACTGGTGCTGTCTAATAACTGGAGTTCTTTGACATGAAAATGACAAATATTTCTTTGTTGTATAGTCTGGAAGAAGTGGGAAAACTATTCCAGAATTAGAGAAAACAATTGGTTTGATGAAAAAGGTTGTGGAGAGAGTTCAGAGAGAAAACGAAGAGCTTAAGAAAGCACCTGGAGTAGTCTCCAATGAAAAACTGGCCAGCCTTGAACAAGAAAATGAATGTTTAAAGGTAACATATTCCCTTTTCAAAGCAGTATGATTTCATTCTTTAATATAAAAATTTAATGTATATAAGATCCATGTCAGCACTTTCAATGTATACATGGAAAGCTCAGTGTAGGATTCTATTTTAAACTTATTGGTGATTTTTAAAGAATTACACACAGCTGTCTATAAATTGGTGTGAGGTTTTTTCCTATACTTAAATGGGCACGGTGCTTTTTTCCAGTTTGTAGCAATATCAACGTGACAGATAACCAATACTCTTTTTTATTTATTTCTGAATTAAGACTGAAATGGAAAAACTAAAAGTTCACCTTGGAGGGGAATTGAGTATGCGCTATGAACTGAAAACTAAAGGCACAGAAAAGATAATTGCTGAAAATGAGAGAATCCGGAAGGAGCTGAAAAAGGTACATCTGTGAAAACGTTGATATCATGAAGTATTCTTATTATCTTTCAGTTCTTCTCTCAAAACACAAAGGCCTTCTAGCTTAGAATATCTAATATAGCTTTTTTAAAATTCCTTGTTACAATGGATCCTTTGGGGCATAAAAACCCTGGCATGTTAAAGCATGGTATATAGCAAGTAGGAATTAATACTCTCCTTTTGCACTTCCGTTGCACAACAGCTTCAACACTTCTGTTTCATTCAGAGCAGGGTTCTTCATTACATCTGAAACAAGCTAATATGTTTTTGTATTTACTAATCAGGAATGAAAGATGGTTTCTGAGATCTAGGTTTGTAAGCATGTATTAAAACAGTTTCTCATTTCGGATATAATGAACAACTCGTTTGAACTGAACGGTGCTTAAACTGACATAAGGTGTAGGCGTACCCTGTTTTGAAAAATTCCATCTGAACCATTTCAATGCATGCAATATCTTGGGGGGTTTTTTTGTTGGTCACTAGGAAGCAGAGAATTCAGAGAAGCTACGAATTGCAAAGAATAATCTTGAGATAATAAATGAGAAATTGACTGCAGAACTGGAAGAGACCATAAGGAAGTTAAGCTTGGCAGAAAGCAGAAACCTGCAGGTTGAGGGAGCTGATGGCAAGGGTGGGAAATCCATTGTGATAACAAGGTAAGAACTTGGAAGATTAATTGGATAGCTTTGCTTGTCTATTTTCCTCATTATTGCCAATAAACGAGACTTATTTTCAGAAGTAATAAAAAAATTGTACATATCCAGTATATGATCCTGAGTCGTGTATACAGTATACTTATTTAGTCAGTCATACATAATCGAGTTAGGAAAGTGTATGAAATGCTGTTTGGGACAGTTGCTGACTGTTGTTAGACTACTGTGAATAATATAGTGTGCAATAGGAGTGAGTTGATTTCAGGTTGGTTTTATTTTTATTAAGAGTCCATTCACACGTTCACATTTGTTAAAAGAGGACATACTTTGGGACTTTTTGATAGTTAAATTATCCTTAATTTGCACTCCAGTTAAAGAATATAATAAACGCCTTGGCTATATCAAACCAGGCTCTGCCTAGTCCAGGATACTTTGCAAGATTCCCAGCAACTAACAGGTATCAAGTGGTCCATAGAAAATGGTGTGCTCATGAATACTCACCATCATATAGATTTCTTCTCATATTGTAGGTATTTTCTTTGAACTTTGAGCAACAATGTTGGAAAGAGGGAAAGTATCCTTTTTTAAAAAAAAAGCCACCATCACCAAATTGATAAAGCATCATACTGGTTTCATATTTACTGAAGAGAAATGGCTAAAAAATTGCCCACCCTCCTTATTTATATCTTCTCCCACTTGTGAATGTCATTAGTTTGATGTTTCTGCTTTGTATATTAATGGAAAAATAAATGCAAGTTGCACAAGTTCCTTAATGCAAAATTTGTAAAGTGTGGTGCCTTAATATAATTTGTAGATCAGCAAGTCTTGACATATAAAACATCTTTCCCACACTGTTTTGTAAAATGATCCCTCTTTGCTGCACTCCCTTGATAATAGCAGCTTAAGGTTTTATTCTAACGTCTAGAAACAATGTTTTGAACAGATCTTAATTTTCTCTTTCAGAATGTATGAAAATAAGATGAAAGAAATGGAAGCTGATATTGCCAAAAAAACTCAAGCCATTAGTGATCTTAAACAGGCATTACAGAAATCCACAGAGTGTGAAGAAAAAAATGAAAAATATATTGAAATCTTAAAAGAACAGGTAAGTAAACATGATTCTGGGTGTAATTTGCCAACCATCTTTAATTTATATTTTATTTGCAAATTTTTAATGCACAATCTACCTTTTGTTTAGGATGCTGTACTTTCCTCTCCTCATCTAGAGGAAAGGCCTTGCATTTGAAATGGCACCATCTTCTGTTTGTGTCACGTCTTCTGGCTTTACAAAGAACAGGGTTGTTTTTTAAGGGTCCCTTATAGTTTTATTTTCAGCAGCTTTTTAATTCATTACTTTCTAGCATTTTCTTTCCTTTGGAGGCAGGCATGCACTACCTGTTCTTGTCCACACGCCACACCCCAACCCCAACCCCAGACAGCACAGGAGCTGAACTTTTGTCTTCTGGGTTCTTTGTTCTGCTACAGGCAATCTGGCAAAGACCTAGAAATTTCTAATGTTAAAATAAAAGTATTTTTTTTCCTTCTATGTAAAGGTTGAACTTCTCAAACACTTTCCTGAGGATGCCAAAACAGAGCAAGGGCTTGCCAAAGAACTTCAGCTTCTCAGGTAAAGCGAAGAAAAGCTTGTTTCTTCTATAGATCTACATGGAAAAATATTGAGGACTATCTAGATCTTTGTCCTGTTTTATGCGGTTGCAGATTAACCAATGATCGTTTGGAAAAGGAAAAGGCAGAGTTAGCTTACCAGGTGGAGAGTTCTCGAAAACAGACTGAAGTTAAGGAAGATGGTGGATTTGCAGCTGGTAACGTTTAAAATACTACAGATCAAACCTACCAAAGACTTAAATATAAAGAAGCTTCACTCACACAACAGGGCTGTCTAGCCTTCTGAAAAGCTACTTCCTAGAATCAGGGACTTATCTGAACAATGCGGAATGAAGTGTGGACGGCTAAAAGAGGGAGGAAATGGTAGACGTATGTGAGCAAAAGTGCCTTCCACGCAAGCAAGGGAAGGTTTAGGACTTTTGACTAATAGGTTTTTGAATGTGAAGTAAATTACAGTAAGCAGTATCTAAGTTTTTGTAGAACCATACTCCCAGAATATCCACTTTTTGTCACAAAGCAACTCAGGTGAAGCTCTAGAAAACCTGGGACTCCCTGGTTTTATTTAATGATAAAACTCATCTTGAATTGCCATGTAAGGACTTTATTTACTCACCTGGCTGGACCAATGAAACGGCTTCATTTACTCCACTTGTATTGGAAACTTTACATTTATTGAGGGAAATCACATTAGCTTTAGAATATTACATTTCAGGAAAATGAGAACAGAACACTGGAAAGTAGTGGTAGTTTTTACTGTACCCTTAGGTTATACAGCTGTTGCACATAAGGCTGTTAAGTGGCATCTAAAACCTATGAGTATTACCTACATGTATGAAAAAAGTAGGCCAAACTGCCTGTGGTACAAGCCTAGTAAACACATGAGCAGTTAGACTATTTGTCTGAAGATGCCTGAACAATATGCTTATGTAAATAATGTAAAGGTGACTCCCTATTTACGTGGGGGTTCCGCTCCTGGGCCCCGCATGCACACATGAAGTCGTGTAAAATGGAAGCACCCTGGAGAGGAGTCCTCAACCAAGGCCTGCTGTCCCTTACGCTCACAGGAGTCACAGGGGTGGCATAGCAGGCACAGCTGACATGTATGGGACAGCAGCACTTGGCTAACCAGATGCTCCCCATTTCTGGGTACCACTTCCAGGTGTCTTGCACCGCATGCAAATCAAAGGTGTGTAAATGAGGAGCTGCCTGTAAATGTTTGCAGTAAATTATTAACTTTGTAGCAGTAGAGAACAGACTTTCTAGCTAATTTGTAACTTTTGAGGCATCTTCATCACACACATACATATGGAAAATCTTCCATTTGAATCCCTAGGGAAAGATGGAAACTATAAACTACTGGCAGAGGTAACAAGCCTCAAGACACAGTTGAAAACCTCCGATTTAGAACAGCAGCGACTTCATGTAAGAGTTGTAAATATTCCAATTTCTTCCAGATAAGTATCTGTTTATTGAGAAGATTTTCAGAATGTGTTTTAGCTATCATTACCCACAATTTGAGGCAAGCTATTAACAGTCATTCCTTGCTAGATATTTCACCTGCCACTCACAGGTTACCTCTTTCCTATCAAGCTTTTCAAGACAGGTGAGATTTCCCCATGTTGGATTGTAGATTCCCAAAGGTAAGATACTACCAGAGATTTTTAACCTAATTCTGTGGAAAAAATAGTGAAACTTTCCCAAGTGCAAAGCTTTGGGGTTTTGAGAGTAGATCTAGCAAGAAGAAAGACTATGAAGTTCCAGCAAGCAGAGAAAATGGGAAAGCAAACCCAAAGCTTGTCTATAGGAGCTAAGGCAAGGCTCTCTCCCCAGATACATTTCTGTATTTCTACAGTCCTACCTAGCAAAATGAAGAGAAACGACCCACCTGAAGATTCACTCCTCTGCTACAATGAAAAGTTGCATCCATGTTCTTAAACTTGGAGCATGAGCTAGCCAGACTTCTGGGTCCCATTGATTTTAGTGGGCAAAGAGCTACATTCTTATATCCCCACTAGAATCTCTGGGATTTAAAAGTACTTAACTTTGGCTGGATTGTGCCCATTATGTTTATGGCCTACATTTTACATCAAAGCCCCAAGCGAAAGATGAAACAATGCACATGTATCTGAGATGAAGTTGTTAGGATTTAATGTGTAAGGATTTATTGTGTGAAATTTTTGCTGTTCCTCATTAGGAAGAAGTCAGAAAGCTGAAAAATGAACTGGACCACTTTGATCCATCCTTTTTTGAAGAAATTGAGGATCTAAAATACAACTATAATGAAGAAGTTAAAAAAAATATTCTCTTGGAAGAGAAATTGAAAACACTTTCTGAACAATTTGGTGTTCAGGTAGATATTCCAGCCAGAGTTTCTATTGATTAATTGAAAAGGTACAGAATGTTTTTGAAGAAGACCTGAGACTTGGCACAGAAAAGAAACAAGAACATTCTAATGTCAGGGGTCAAACAAGCTTTTTTTATACTTTCTCAGAAATGTGTTTCAGCTCTTGCTAAAGCAAGCATCTCCATGAGTTACTGCTTGTTTTCACTTCTGCAAACACAGAAGCAAAAGTAAGGAATGAAGGTATAGTACTATTATACTTGTTTTTTGTGCTAATTTATTATATAGTCAGTATTATATTTTTATAGATCTTACATTGATGTGCTTGCAGTGAAGGTATAAAACTGAATGCAGTTTAGAAATTATTTATTTTTCTACATTTGTTCATTACTGGTGTATTATTCAAACAGTTTTATGCTTATTTACCCTAAAACTGACAGCCCAGAAATATGGGCTTTATCTAATAAAATATATACAAACTTGCTAAACAAGTTTACTTCTCATTTTTTGCGTTCCATTAGTATGACTGAATTTTAGTTTCATTATCAGAAGCAACTTTACGTAAAGCTGCCCTGACATCATTTAAGCAAACAATGTACAGTAGTATTGTAACATGTGTATTTCAAAAGAAATGTATCTTATTAATTTAAACATTTTAAAACAAATGCCAGTGGCTTCTCAAACATTGTATTCCATGACATATACACATGTATCTTACTTTTATTACTCATAAGATATATGTTGTTCCTTTGAAAATATACAGAAGCAACGAAATCACTACATGTATGTATTTTTGAGGAAACAGCAATGAATTTGCACACAAGTATTTTTTGCTACAATATTTGTAGCAGAGTATAAAATATAAAGAGAAAGCTACCCCGAGGCTACTCAACTGACCCTAAGTTAGTGAAGAATAATGTTTCAACTCCTCAAAAGTTTGACAGTAAAGCATTCTGTTTAAAAAAAGCCTTTTGGAAATTTTTCTTTCACTTTATAGTTTGATCTGTTGCAAAATTTAAATATGCCTTTCAGTTATACGTTGCTAGAAGAAATTCATCCATACAAACTAGTCATTACCACAACTGAATGTACAAACTATACAATAATTTAAAACAAAAAGCAGGAGATTTCAGGTACGTAACCATCACTTCAATAGGTACGTTTCCCACACAATTAAAAAAAACAACGCTCAAAAGTTTATAGATTTTTATTTGTGGCTTGTCTGCTACATAATAAGCAGCAGTATTTGTTATATACACATTGAACCATGTGTTGCCTAAATACTATTTACATTGCAACAATTGAAACCTTTTGACATCCCCTATCTAAGGAATGAACAATCACACAGATGGCTACTTTTTTAATAAAAAAAATAATTTGGTCACAGATTACTTACTATATCTCTGAGACTATTGAATCTTTGTCCCTCCAATTTTGAAAAATAATGGAAAAGTGTCTTTGGCTCAAAATTATAGTCGTATTTGGCACCACTAAAGGTGATAACAACTGGCTGAGAAATCAAATGAGGGTCTGCAATCGGCCAGCACAAACCAAGATGATGCCGATGGAGCTATGAAGAAAAAAACACACAATTACATTACTAACTGCACTAAGTACCAGATCAGAGTCTGAAACAATTGCACGGACCCATTTTAATACTCAATCACTGAGACAGGTTTTTAAATTCTTGATGATTGAAGGCTTCATCCTTTCCTACTTGTGTTTGAAACAGCTACTCCATTCTTCTCTCCAAAATTACATGACAAGCATAAAATAGAAGATACAAATTGCACCAAATCAAAACTGACATCTGGAAATGACTCTGGAGGCTTTATTTTAGAAGAAAGCCATGAGAATGAAAAATTAACAGCCAAAAGGTTGAATGATGAGCAAACACCAAAGTATTATATGGATTCACGTGTGTATATTTGCATCTTCTATGCAACTTTTTCTGTAAGCATTGGTATGTTGAAATGCATTCATGTATAATGTGAAAGTGCTTCT